ATGGAAGAGTTGTGTTGCCTGTCTTTTAACAGGGATGTCTGTGACCCAGCACTTGCCCAGGGGACGGTCCCTTGGTTCTGAGAACACAGCAAGCCCTGTCTGGGGCTTTGGGCATGGCTGGGATGGCATCTGAGGCCGAGGCAGACCAAAGGCACACTTGTTTTCCTGCCCCTCCAGCCAGCATCTGGGTTTCTGTGGTGCTGGCTGTCCTAATGCCCCCAGCCCCCTGTGCTGGGCTGACAGGCCTCCCAAACTCAGCGTTTCGGGGTCACTGGTGCCTCAGACAGGCTGTGAGCTCACCTGATGGGTGTGGATAACCATGGAAAACCAGTGGAGCTCTGCTGGCCTTCCTGTGCTGGTACAGGGACTCCAGACCCAGTGGGAGATGAGGCTCTGGAGATGCCCCTGCAGCCTGTCCTGGAAGACAGATTGCTGTCACTCTGACCTGGAAGCTGCTCCACAGGTTTGCAGTGTGGTGTGAACAGCTCAGCAGAGTCCAGGACTTCTGCTCAGTCTGGGTGGTGACACTGGAAGGTGTCCCTGCCCACGGCAGGGGGTGGAATGAGATGAGTTTTAAGCTCCCTTCCAACCCAAACCATCCTGGGATTCCATGATTGTCATCCTCTTCTGTTGGCATGTATTTAGAACAGTTATCAGTTCTTATTCTAGAGCTGACAGTGTTTGTTTGGAACACACAATGGGGTAACATTCCCAGGAACACTCCCCTTTGCCCACTCTGCAGATTGCTTGGGTGCAAGTCACCAAAACTTCAAACCCCTCCTCAGAGGAGGAAGAAAGCAGCAGCTGACATTCACCCTGGCCCAAGAGACCTGGATCTCCCAGTGTGAAGCTGGCTCAGCCCTGTGGAAGCAAACACAACCAGCCCAGTTTATCCCAGCCCACAGTCCAGGAACGCATCCTCTGCCACTGATGTGTGCAAAGTGACACCTGGGCACGGGATGAACAAACCTGCTCACTGCCTGAAGTGGGGCAGAGATCCAGAGAGCCCTTTGGGACATGACAGAGTTGTTTGTTCTCCCATACACAGGAGCATCTTGGAGAAATGTGCCCATACCAGTTCTGCTTAAAACAATTAGGGACAGAAAAAAAACCCTTAACCTGTTCTTTGCCTTTCCCAGCAGTCATTTCTGGCTTGCCAGTGCATCTCCAGTCACTGTCCTTTGCCTGACTCAGGATGTCATTGCCATGCCTTTAGTATACATATTAAATAAAAATCTAAAACTCAGACTGTAATTTCAAAGGATCAGCTTTTCTCAAGGATGCTTTCTTTAACTCAGAGCAGGTCTTTATTGTTAACCAGTTACTCATTCAACCAGTAAAACAGCTGGACCATGGAGACCTAATTAGCTGGTAATTATTCTCAAGCTTTGCCTCATCTGGATCACAAGACAGAGTCTTATCCTGTATCAGTGCAGCCCCATTGCAGGTAATGGAAGAAGGTTCATCTGTTAAACTGGATCCTGTCCACAATCCCAATATTCTGGAAGACTCTGGGAGTTTTCCCACTCAGGCCTGAAGAAACAGCAGCTAAAGGCAAGGGCTGAGTGGAAGATTGAAGCGAAGGCAGTGCCACAGATGGCTGGGAATTGCAGGTCAAAGCAGCAGCACAGAAAAGAGGGACACAGCCCAGGGCCTGGAGTCAGAGCCCTCCATGCAGGGACAGCCAGGCCTCCTCTCCTTCCTGCTAAGAGCTCTATTTGCTGGTTTTTTCTCCCCCAAGGCTGAGTGCCCTCGCTCCACCTCGCTGTCTGACAGCTCCCACAGCTGCTCTGCTGATGGGCAGAGCCAAGGCTGGAGCCCACTCCTCTGGAACGGGCCAGCAGCTGCTCTGAGCTGCTTGATGGCCATGGAAAGCAAGGAAAACCTTGCTTTCCTCTGCCCAGATCAGCAAGGGAAGCTCTGCTTGCTGCTCAGTCACTGCCCTGCTCTCTGGGCTCAGTGCACACCTAAGGTGCCACCATCAGGATCTCCCAGACTCAGCCCTGCCACCTCCCTGCCAGGCCCTGCAGCCTGGGGGGCTCCTGCCCTGCACTGTCAGCCCCATCCACGTCTGCCCAGAAGCTTTTCCTGAAAGAATTGCAGCAGAGGTGTTCTATATCTCCTTCCTACATTATTCATTATTCTACTCCAAAACATAAGGGAATAAATCCTATTTCTGTTAATCCAGGAGCAAAGATCTCACTGCAATTACTTTGTTACTATTAATCACTAACAGGCTATGAAGGAGTCGTAATAAGTGGAGAAGAAATGTGTTTTACTATGAAAAATTTTACTATTAAATTTTTTTGATTTATTCTCTAGCTGTTTCTGAATAATTTGTTTCTGGGTTCTTAACAGGAGACTTTCTATAAGCCTTGACTCTTCTTCCATATCCTAATGTATATACCTATTTTAATACTAGTATTCTTCTAGATTTTGGAGCTGCAATTGTGGTAAACAATAATTTTTTTTAATACACAAAGAACAGGGTAGGATACAGAGAAGAATTAAGACTGAAAAGACCTGACCTTTCAGAGCTCGTAAGGAGTTTTCCTACCTACAACAAGGATCCATGGCTGATGAAAATAAAATCTCATGTGAGCTGGTAAGACTTCAGAAATTAACTCTTAGAACTATTCTTCTTTCTGTGCTAAAAGATACATTCATTTGAAGTTTAGAACTGAGAAAAAGATAGTTCTATATCATAAAGAATGATCTGCAAGGATACACCTTTACCATAAGAGCTCAGATTTTTTTTTCTTCATGGTGTCCTTCTGTGCAAGAGCCAAGCTATGAAGAATTAAAATGTAAAATGTTAGTGCAGTAATTAGGAACATCTCTGGAGTACAAAGAAAAGTTAATGGAGGTTGGAGACAGACAGGGAGCAGGGACAGGCTCTCAGGTTGAGTCTGGAGAGCTTTCCTGGGTTAAAGATGCTCTGCAATTGCAGGTGTTGTACCCAGCAAGAAGGAGAGTGGAACTTTGTCTGCCCCGAGAGAACTCTGAAATAGGTGGAAGGCAGATGAGAACAGTTCCTTCTTGCAAAGAGACACAGTCAGGATCTGTGCAGTGAGGGAAGGACACTGCACCTCTGATCAGGGAGCAGCTGAGCCCAGCCTTGAGGCTCCTGAGCCTCCTGGCAGCAGGGATTAAAGCCTTTCAGGAATGCCAGTGGAAAAGGGCTGGGGAGAGCAGGCAAGGAAATAGGTAATGGTGAGAAGACAAGCAGCTCAGGGTCAAGCACAAAGCTGAGACTGTGGGCAGAAAAATGGGACAACTGAGTGAAGGAATTTGGAGGTGCTCCTTAAGCACAAGGGGACTGGACACACTGGACACAGGCATCAGTTGTTTGATGTCCTGCTCCCCCCTTGCACTGATAACACAGTGAAAGCTCTGGGGCTTAACTGTTGGCACCAGGGTCTTAACAGCTCTGTGTGTTTGAATGTCCTAATTACGCTGGATGGCAGTGGAATTAGAGCTGATTCCTCCCCTGCTCCTCACGGGAACCAGCTGGTCTGTCTGATCCCCGGGCTGGGGTCAGGGCCTGTCCCTGCCTGGGGCTGGGAGCACCCAGAAAGCTCTGTGTGGGAACACCCTGCAGCCCAGAGAGGGGGAGGGAGGCAGAGCCCTGCTGCTGTGCTGTGAGCAGTGGCACAGCCTGAAGGATTGCAGGTTCCTGTGGTGCCTTGGCTGTTGTTGGGCAATCAGAGGGGGACAGATTTGCTTCCAGAACGTGTGGGGCACTCAGGTCATTCTGCAGGACCAAGACTTTTAGTCCAAGGCTGCTCTGAGGGTTTCAGTGTTACAAATAGTTCTGAGTGATGAACCTGAGTGCTCCCTAAGCATCCCAGAGTCCCCCATGCAGAGCTCCTGAACCTCTGGAACTCTGTGCTGGCTCCCAGCTGATGTGGAAATACCCAACTGCTGCAATCCAGGCAGCAAATCCTTCTGGGAATGGCACTGCTCTTCAGCTCTGGCCATGAAATGCATTCCAGAGCTGTTCCACGGGTAGGAACTTCCTGTGGAATTGTGGCAGGTCGAGGAAGGACACTGAGCATCTCCAAAGGCAGCCAAATTCGACCCTTTTAATAGGAGGGAGCCTCTCCTCTGTGTCTCAAGCCCCAAACCCTTTCTTGGCTGGCTCCCATGCACACAGCAAGCCCTTTGCTGTGAGCAGCCTCCCCAGAGGAGGAAATTTGCCCAGGACCTCTGAGAAGGACTTTTCACTGTAGCTGAGGTTTTGCTCTTTCCTTGTTTAGAAGGAATTAATCTATTTATAGGCACAATCTGCCTCTCTGTCCTTCCCTCAGCATTAGGCAATGAAAGTTCTGGCCTCACCTGTGAACCCCAGGGACCCAGGAATGCCACAGCTAATTCTGCTATGTTCTGTTATTTACTGACTCCCACAACCCCTGCCTCTCCTTGTTTGTCCTTGTATTAACCAAATACAAGTCTATCTGCAGCAGGGAACTGCACAGCACAGCCCCTGGGTGAGTGAAGAGCATACTGGGATAACTGGGCCTCTGGCTGGCAGCTCCTGGCTCTCTGCAGCCTTTTGGGAGTGGATCCTGTAGGACACACAGTCCCTGGGCTCCCTCTGGGATGGTTGGCTTTGGTTTCTCTTGAATGACTGTGCAAAGATCCATCTGCAGGTTTGGATTTGGGTCCTGCAGAGCCTGCAGTGATGAAGGCTGTCTAGAAACCATTAATAAAGCTCAGCCCTTGATGGCATCAATAGCCCCCTCTGGGCTTCTTGCAGGCTGAGATGGTGGCAGATTGTCAAAATTACTTCAGGTTCTGGAACACCACCCCTTCCAGGATGAATAGGCTTCTTGTGTGCAACCCACATGATCCTGGTGTTTTCCTGGTGTCTCTATGGAGACTGGAGACATTCTTCTAGTCTGTTGGTTTGGGATCTTTTCTCTGCTGCTTGCAGGTAAATTGTCTTGTAGGAAAAAAGAAAGTAGAGATAATCCCCTGAATAATGAATAAAATATCAGTCACAGAACACCAAAACATCCTGACTGTTTTATTGAAGGCGTTGGAAATATTTTTTGATTTTTTTTTCCTTTTTAACACGCTACCATCCAGCTTGGCAGAGATTTAGCAAGACTTGTGCAAAAAATAATTGGCCTTAGGCAAAGCTGGATGGAGCAGTGAGCATTCACATGTGGATCCTCATCCAAATGAGGCTGGAGCGGGGATTAAAGAGTGAGGCAGTGGTAGATTTGGGAAGCCTTCCCTGCCAATAATTGGGGGTTCTTTTTGAAAGATGTTCCAGTTCCAAACACTTTTTCTCATGAGATCAGACACTTCCCCTCACCATTGGCTCCAGGCCCTCCAGGAAAGTGGGTTAAATGAGATTTTTGTTACCTTGGCCATATTAAAATAGTTGTCTCTGTTTTCATTGGCACCCTGGGGATGTCAGCGCTGTGGGGTGGATGAGGATGGGGATGGTTTGGTGCTTCCTTGCCCTTGGGGTTGGGTTGTCACAGCAGTGTGGAATTCACTGGAGAAATGGGTGCATGGGGAAAACACAATTTATTGTCCCACGGATACTGGGGAGGAATAGTAGGGGACCAGGTGCTTCTGTCTTGCCCAAACTGGCCCCTCAGGTGGTGTGACTGGGACAGGAGCAGAAACAGTTGCCTTCTGGGATGTTCTCCAGGATTTTTTCTTTCCTCCTCAGCAACAGCCTGGCCATGACTGGTACAATCTCTGCTCCACAGCGAGAGCCACCCGTGTGTTTTCCTGCTCAGGGTGACACAAAATGCTCTTTGCCTTCCTGGCTGCCACTCCCAAACTCCTTATTCCTGGCTTATGAGCCCAGATCCTGCCAGCCATAGCCTGGAAAAACAAATCCCTGCTGAGGGGTTACTGGAAATGATCAAGGCACTGTGTCACAGCCCCCAGTGCTGCTGGGGGGGGAAATAAAGTCACAGGGGAAAATGCTGGGATTTAGATTATACCCTGCCTGGAAAGATGTGATGGTGAGTGAGGCCTTTGCCTCAGTTTCTCTCCATGTAAATCTGAAGCCACATCTAGATCTCCTTCTGAGGAACTTCACAGCCTGTGGGATGAACTTGATGGCTTGTGTGTTTTCAGCACTAATAAAAATGGTTATTAGCTGTACTATTACTTTAAAGCAGAGCATCTTAATTAATTTGGGGACTGGCCAGTGGATCATTCACATTATAAATACCATTATACTCTATTTCTAGATAATTCAAAGTTGGCTCTAAGCAAAGCAGATTAGATTTAAGGCTTGGGGCAGAAGAGGAAATAAAACAAAGGTGTCCCAGTTGATAGTTCAGCTTTCAGAATAATTTGGCACCTTGGTTTATTCTGACCATGACTGAAGGGGTGGTGTGTGTGAGTATGTGCAGTTACTGCTCTGCTCTGGGGTTTCTGTTTCCTCACACACTGGGGTGCCCCGAGGTATCATCTTGCCATCTGCAAAGGTAAAGTTCAGGGTCAAGAAACACTAAACTTTCCCCTCCATCCTGTGCTGGGATCCTGCTTTTCCAGAGGCTTTCCAGGAGATGGGGAGGAGACCCTGCTCAGAGGTGTCTCTCTCTGAGAAAGCATTGCTGTCAGGGGAACAGAGAGGACCAAGGGGCTCATTAGCCACACATAAAGTGGGTTTACCCTCTGTGTGGGATGTTTTACGCTCTTCCAGGCTTCAAAAGAGCCTTCCTGGGCAATGCCCTTTCCTCTGGCATGGGGCAGATACTACAAATTCACTTTTATTTATGTGAGGCAGATGCTGAGATCTTTTACTCAAAGGGATTTTTATGCACCGAGACCTTTCACACCGAGAGGACAAAGCCTCTGGATCCCCTGGAGTGAAACGCTGGCCCAAACTCTGCCTTCCCTCCTTCTGGCCACACACTGGATTTTTCTATTCTGGATCAAGTATCCAGCCCAATATCACGCTGAAAAAGGCAGACACTGGAGATCAGAGTGCAGTGTTTAGCAGGATTGGTTATGTCTGTACATATCTGTTTTCAAAGGTGGTTGGATTTCACTGGAAAAGGGACTTTTCTAGTGATTAAACCTGGTAATGTCAGGGGCTTGGAGAGGTATCTTTGCCCTTTTGATATGGAAAAGGGAATTCAGAACAAGAGCCAGTGCACTTTAAGGCTTTGGCACTTCAGCTTGTCCTGCCCATTCTGTCAAAAAGGGTTTGCATTTTAAACTCTTGTTTGAATGTGGAAAACCAGCGAGCTGAAAACCCACTACACAGAATTCCTTTCCTTGGGGAAGCGATCCCAGGGTACTTGGCAACGTATAAATACAGAAGCAAGAAATCACAACCAGCTAACTCTGCCCTGAGCAGAAGCAGGTACTTGGGTACTACCTCAATAACAACTTCAGTAATACAGCAGCACCTTAATTCCCATGTGCCTTAATCACTGTCTGATGATACTGTTTGTGCTGGGACTAAACAGGACAGCCCTAAGGTGCTCAATAATTTTTCCAGGGTGCCCTGCACTGGCTCCAGTGCTGCTCACAAAGGGTCTGGGAGCACCAATTGTCGCAGAATTAAATCAAGTTGTGTGCAGAAGCCCCCAGTTCAGAACGTCTCCTGCCGTGCCTTTCCTGCCCCTTGAGTTAATTCCCTGGTGGGAAAGGCAGCAATCCTTGTCCCTGCTGTCCCCCCACTTCCACACTGTGCGGATTCCGGGCTCACACACCCAAATTTCGTCAGGGCTCTGCCCTCAAACCTCCCCGAGGTGCCTTTCCCTCCCCAGCCTGCCGGCCGGCCCCATTCCCGGCCCGAGAGACACCTCCGGGACAGGCACTTCCAGCAGGGCTGTCCTGCGTGGGAAGGGGCCTGGGGGCTCCAACAGCTGCTCGGGGTTTGAGTCCCCCTGGCAGATGTTCGCTACTCCAGCCACTTCATTAATTTTGGAAACAAAACCCCTGATTATTCCCCACCAAAGCACCCCCTTTTTGATTGACAGCCAGCGTGTGTTTCAGACGGCGTAACCCGCGTGTTGCTCTGGCCGCTTGCTTTTTTAAAAAATCATAAATAGAAAGAAATCAAGTTTTGCGCTGACCCCACGTGCCAGTCCATCCCCCTGGGCTCAGGTGAGGGCACTGCGTTCCCAGGGCACGGGCAGAGGTGCCAGCCCCTCTCCTCGGGATATTCAGCTCTTCAGGTGGGAGAAGGAAATGTTTAAGGACGAGCAGAGAACTCTTGTCCCGGGATCAGGCTGTGTGTGAGTTCAGCGAGCCCACGCTTTGCTTCGCCTCTTGGTTTCTGATCCAGTCAGGATCTTGGAGTACTCTTGGATTCGCAGTGTTGTGCTCTCGGTTTAGGAAACATTCCCGTGCTCTGGGGTTTTGCACAGGCGGTGAATGCAGGAGGGATTTGGGGAGGGGTGGAGGGGCTGCAGCTCCTGCCCGGACACCGAGGGAAGCTTTGCTGCTGCTCCGGGGGGTAAATCACTGGCTTGCTCAGGATGTTGCTCCCGAAATATCCTTTGCAGGAAGCACTAATTGCTGAAGGTAATGTTGCTGGTAATTATTTTGTCTCCTAAAAAAAAAAAAAAAAAAAAGAAGAAAAAAAAAAGTGTCTGGTAAAGGCAAAGAAAGTAGCTCTTAAAATGGTTTATGTGTGAATAAAGAGGTGAGTTTTCATAAAGTATATTCATAACAAAGTCAGTTCATCTCCTTAAATATCCACAGTTGGTTTAGGAATTAAAGCAACTGTTCAAGTAATTTAAAAAGAGTTATACCACCAGGGAAGGGAGAAGTCCTTGAACCCCTTAGTTGTTATCATACTATTGAAATTCCTGGTACTAAGATGGCTTTAGTTTCTCAAAATAAAAAGATATAAAACCATTCCCAACCAATTCATTTTAAATTGGAATGTCCTCACAGTGGTTTAATGAGCGAAATGCTTTGCTTTAGCTTTGTTTCATTATAATTTGCTGTGGTGTGATTTTTTTTTTTTTAATAATAAAGTTTTAAGAAAATAAGTTCAACAGACATATCAAAAGCCTGATATTTCATTGCATTTGCCTTCCAGTTTTGGCGATGTGTGCACAACACAAGTATCTTATTTTGATTTTAGGGCTCTCCAACTCAGCAAATGCATCTCTGAAATGAAACGGTACTTTCAATAGAAAAAGAAATATTACTTTTACAAAAGAGGTCAAAGAGAGTTTTGTAGTTTTTTTGAGGGCTTTTAAAAAATACAGTTGACAAAACGAAAGCTGCCCAGATCGTTGAGGAGAGTCTGAGATGGTTGTTGCCTTCTGCAAAGGCAGGTTGAGTTTTCTATCAGTAAAATGGGAGTTTGCTGCCGTTTGGATCGGCGGAGCGTGAGAGCTGAAGGGTGGCCGACGACTTTTTGCAGATCATATTTAAGTCCTTGTCTGAAGCCTACAAATAATAATTTTTGGGGGTGGCAAATCTCCATAATGAGCCTCCCTTCACCCCGTGTGAAGTCTGCGAGCCGGCTGTGGCTCCTGGAAAACCTGCGGTTCACCGGGAGGATTCCAGCGGTTCCCCCGTGCAGGGTGTCCTGCTGATTCCTGGGCTCAGCCAGGTGTGCGAGGCCACAGAGCTGAGAGTAAAACTCAGAGCTCAGCCTGGGAGGGAAATTTTCAGTGGGCAAACCTCTGCCCTCAGAGGAAGGGGCTCAAAGCTCAGCTTGGCGAAAAATCCAGCTGAACTAAGCAGGGATCCGTCGGAAAATCATCTCGGGTTCGGGGACCGAGTAACGCCGCCCCGGAGAAAAATATCTTCTGTGTATTAGATATATATTCTATATATACCCGTAGGTCCAAGGCACCTATAAACAGGATTTTTTCTCTCTCTCTGCCGCTCTCCAGCACTTCGCGGCCGGAGAATGGGTTTGATGCCGGTCGGGGGAAGTTGTCGGGGCCGGGAATGCGGCAATTTAGGTTTTGTAAGTAATTACAGTCTAGAGGACGGGGAGAGGAGGGAGAAGAAAGTATGGAGAAAAAAAAAAAAAATCCAGCCCCAACCTGGAACCTTTCCAGTTTTTGCACCAAGAAGAAGGAAAAAAAAAAAAAATCCAAGCCAAGCCACACACCCCGGTATCTTAAAATAGCGAGCAGGGAGGGGAGAGCAGCGGCGGATCCTCCCAGCCCGGCGCGGGGTGACAATGGGGCTCGGCGGGGAGCAGCGGGAGCCCTGATTGACAGCCCGAGCCTCCTAAAAAGGCCGCGCGGCCATGGCAGAGATGCTTATCGGAGCCTTTATATAGCGGGGAGACCGCGGGGCGGCCGCGGAGGGACCGGTGGGGACACCGCGGGAGACACCGAGAGGGGACAGAGCGGGGACACCGAGGGGACAGAGCGGGGACACCGCAGGGAGACAGAGGGGAGAGAGCGGAGGCACAGAGGGGACACCGCGGGGACACAGAGGTGACACAGAGGGGAGATAGAGGAGTCAGAGAGGGGACACAGAGGGGACAGAGCGAGGACACCGCGGGGACGCAGAGGTGACACAGAGAGGACACAGAGGCGACACAGGGGGACGCCGCGGGGTCCGCTCGGGGCGCCGGCCGCCCATGCGAGCCGGGCGCAGCCCCGCGCAGGGGTCCCGCCATGCACGGCCACCCCCAGCCCCATTCCCAGCCCCATTCCCAGCCCCATTCCCAGCCCCATCCCGAATCCCAGCCGCATCCCCAGCCGCGGCTCCCCGCGCCCGGCCGGCCCAAGGCAGGCAGGAGGCGCTACAAGACCTTCATGATCGACGAGATCCTCTCCAAGGAGACCTGCGACTACTTCGAGAAACTTTCGCTCTACTCCGTGTGCCCGTCGCTGCTGGTCCGGCCCAAGCCGCTGCACTCCTGTGCCGGTAAGCCCGACCCCGGGGGGTCCGGGGGTTCCCCGAGAGATGCCCGGGGCTCCGAGAGGTCGGGGGGGGCTGGAGTGAGCGGCTCCTGACTCTCCCACCGCATCCCAGCGCTGCCCTGGATGAGCCCCGGCTGTCCCATCCCAGCCCCGCAGAAGGGATTGCTCCCAGTCCCGGTGTTTGCCAGCGCGGGGAGAGTTGTTGGTTATTATCATCTCGCACTGCCAGTCACCCGGTGGTTACCATCAGCTGTTAGTTACCATCTCCTACTCGCAGTTATCCGGTGGTTCCTCTCCGCCTGCAGCGGCGGGTTCAGCCGAATCGCCGTCGGGGTGGTCACAAATCCACAACCAGATAATTGACAGGGAGTTGAGGAGCTCCACAGGGAGCAGAAATCGCCCTTCACCTCGTGCTCATTGAGACCTCCGGTGGTTTTTTCATTGCGTCTGCGGGAGTGCAAAGAAATTAATAGAAATAGTGGGGAAAAGGAGGGGGAAAATGCTACAGAGGCACAGTTTTTCTACCCTAAATTCTCGTGTCTTTGAAAGAGCTTAGGCTGTTTTTAACAGCAAGGATAGGAAAATAATTCTGGTGATTTTGCAAACAGAGACACCACAAATAAATACACCAAGTGGCTCTGCCCTGTACAGGCAGCAAAAAGAGTGACTGACTGGGTCTTGACCATGGGCATTATAAAATTTCCCAAGCAGACTGGTCTAATGTGAGCCTTTAAAAAGCCACATTAAAAGTAAAACCAGCAGTCTTAGAATGCATTCCAGATTTTAATAAATAAATAATAATGATGATAATAATAATAAACCCTCTTTCTGGGGAAGCAGGCAGTTTTGCAGGTTTCTGTCCTTCTCATAAGGCCACTCTTCCAGTGGTGACCCCTGATGTGTTCAGAGAAATGAGGCGATGAAACTGCAGCTTAAAAATACAGGCTTCAAAAAATCTTATCTGTTGACAAATATTTGTAAAGGACTAATTACCAGTAAAAATAATATCTATTTCAAGGTCGTAGAATTCTATTTTCCTCTTTCTCTTTCCTGGGAAAGAGAAACCTCAATTTGTATTAGGTTGTGTTTAAAAACTCAAGGCCTGCACTTTGCTTTGGGTTTGTTGGTTTGGTTTGTGGGTTTTTATTGCTTGGCTGATTATAAATAAAAAGGATCTTTTCAGCTCTTAGCAGGGCTGTGCTAATACAAAACTTGCTGTTGGGGTGTATTAAGAGTTTGCCGAGTAGAGTAAATCCTCAGTCCAAGCACAAATCTTCCTCCAACCTCAATATTTATTTTGTAAATACAAATTATTAGAGATCCAGAAGGGATTAGGAGGCTGGATCAGAATTCAGGCCCACAATGACCGGCTCTGGGGAAGCAGAAGTTGCCCGAGCAGTGCGATCCTCACTCAACATTCCCTTCTCCCGATGGGTTTGCGCGTGACGTCCCTTCCCTTCCCGAACGAATCGCTGACATGTTTTTGTGTAGGAGCTGGTTGTTAATCAAGATATTGCTGACAAGGGAATTTTTCAGAGCTGATCCCTCACTACTGCACAGACAGGGAAATTCAGTGCTGGGTCAAAACAGGCTCGAACGTCCCAAAGGGGTTCCGTGTGTAACGCGCAGAGGCCCCAATTCCGCCCGCAGACCTCAACCCACCAGGAAAAGGAAAGAGGTTTTTCCCTCCTTCTCTACAGAAAGAGGAAGAATTAGCACCCAAAAGGAGTATTATCAATGTCCAGAAGCTGTATGAATAACTCGGCATCAAAAAATATGGCCTGGATGTCACCTAAAGGCCCCTCAGGATTTTGGGTGGGCGAGGTGCTTCCCAGCAGCTGGGTTGACTCTCATCAACCCCATGGGGAAAAAATAGAGAGAAAAATTTTAAATACATCGTTCTGGGTCAAGTATAGCAAGAGTTGTCTGTGCAAGAGGAATATATATCAATTAAATAATAATTATATCCTCGGATGATTCAGCAGTGGATTCGGAGTGATGCTGCTGTGCCTCCTGTGCTTACCCTTCAATTAAAGCCTTATTTCCCTTTATGCCCAGGATCTTTAATGAATTTGCCTCAAGGTTGTGTTTCTGGCCCAAGCTCTGGCTTGTCCCCATGTCTGCCTGGTTGTGAATATCTTGCTTTTAATGGAATAATCTTTATGGGCTTGCAGTGCTCGGGAAGTGAAATACAGAGAGATTGCTGGATTAAAACTAAAGAATAAACTGCCACAAAAGTCCTTGGTTCCAAATTGTTAGATCCTAAGGTTTATAGGCACAATTAAAAGATTATGTGTATTAGGTAATGGGAATATTTTTTATTATAGAAGAGAGGAAATTATTGACTAAGAAATGGACAGTACCACAAAGGGGAACTAAATGTGAAAGACTTTGAACAACACCCAATACAAATCTGTAAATAAAATTTAAAAAACCAAACAAACACAAAAAATAACCCAAAGACACACACACAGAGAAAATAAACAAAAAAAACCCCCAAACCTCTTGGGGACTGAAGGCTGCAGAAATACAACACTGTGGCATTTAACTCACTGCCTGCCTTTGCTCTGCCTCTGGAGTTAATCAGGAGTGAGTGAGCACTCAGTCTCTTCAAGATCTAAAAATATTTAGTCTAACCCAAGCCTAAACCACAGAAATTTTACCTGACTGTGAGGTGAGCTGGGACCTGGCAGGGTTTGAGGCAGTGACGAGTAACAAGTTTCTGCAGCCGAACCCCTTTCCGGCAGCTTTTTGTCAAGGGTTTTGTGGCTGTTTTTGTGGGCTAAAGAGTTAATATTTCTTTCACCTTGGGTGAAGCCAGGGAAGGCTGATCTGCCTTTCTGATTTATTTGGAGCTGAAAGATAGAAATGGTGGTGCGTGTGCAGCCTGTGTGTCCAACAGCTGACCCCGCTGAGTGACGGGAGATCGGAAAACTTCGGTGACCCGGCGGAAAATGGGACTTCTTTGGCCAGGAGGAAATGCTGGATATTTAAGGAGTGCAGCTGAACTGGGACAAAACAGATTGGCCAAGGAGAGGGAGAAAGGAGGGAGTGGAAGGAGCGTTTGGGGCTTTTCCTGGGCATGGTGAGGTTGAAGATTGACAGTTTAGCCAAGGAAGGAGCAATCAGGGGCTCTGATGCAAAGCCATCGATGTCACTGGGGAGATTCCCAATGCAGGGAGCCTGGAATAACCCCCAACCCAAATTTGTCTTTGGAAATAAAACCTTTTCCCTCTGAAAGGGCTCCATCATTAGATTCAAATTTGGTGTTTGAACATGAATTGTGGTGTTTATTGAGCAAATAAACAAGGCTGTACTCACACCAAATCTGTAACAAAATGCTGGTCTGGGTTCAGAGCCATTAACAAAATTTAAAATAAATATTAGAAATATTTTTGGATGGTGGGTAATACTGCTATGACTTGTGACTTTTTGGGTTGTGAGGACTGAGGGAAAATGCAATTTTGTTTCACGGTATTTATATTTTTATTGGCTTTTGATATTCTGTCATAGCTAATTAATTTGTATAAGTAATGACACAGTGTTAATATGCTTGGTTTGTTACACTGATTGCTGAAGGTTGAGCAGACTCCTGTAAAAATCACTTTTCAAATTGTCTTTACATAATTTTTCAATTTTGCATTTTAAAATATCTGCTGTAGAGTGAGTCTGTTCCACTCTGGTTTGTCTCCTGTGTTTTTTATGATCTTGGATAAGCCACACATTCCAAAGCCAGTTGCCTTAATTGTAATTTTGTGGATGATAAGGAATTCAGGGACATTGTCAGCATGTGATGCTACGAGGTGAAACTGGAAATGCTCTTTATTTATCAAAGGCACTAAAATAGTTTAAAAATGAAATCCAAGGTGGTGGTGGCTGAGATGTGGAGGGGAATTGTGTGAGATCCTTGGTCAGAGTGGAATTTGTGACACTGTGTATTAACAATCAACAATATTGCTCTTGGAGGGTGTTTTTTAAGCTCTCCAAATGAATTATGTCTGCATTACAAAGCATTGCATTGCCCTCAGTCACAGACTCTGCTGTTATTTCAGCAAACTCTGTTGTACAAATTATTCATTGTCTGCTGGGTGTTCATTTGTACCAGGCCCTATTCCAGAGCTCATAAAAAAAACCCCTAAATTTGAATGCATCTTAGTGGTTTATAATTTAAATCCTAATCAGCATCAGTGTAATTTATGTCTGTCCTAAGCCAAGGTTTTTCCTGGTGCCTGTCTCAGATGGGGCTGTGCTGGTTTCTCTTTAATTACTAGACCTGAACACCACCTTGGAAGGCACAAATATATCAGTATATTCCGAGAGAATTAGCTACTGAACATAAAAATATTGACCCCTGTGGAAAGGGAGTTGTGTCCAAGGGGATTCTGCTCCAGGTACATTTAAAAGCACCACAACTCCAGGAAGTGGAACCTTCATTTTCTCCCCTTGTTTATATAGTTTTGGAAATCTTCTACTCTTCTTGCTGTGCAACGAGCTGCCTTTAAAGAACACCAATAATTATTATCATTTGCTTTCCTTGAAATCATTATTGGGATTTTTGGCACTGTGGATTTTTTTGTTTGGGGTTTTTTTGGAGGCTGAGACGTTGCTGAGAGTTCGTGCGATCGGGGTGTCGATGCGGGCAGGTTGTCTGGAATTGTTCAAAACTTGGATCCTTCACTTCCAGTTCCATGTTTGCCTAGTGCTGTTTTATATTAGGATGATATTAGGAACTGCTTTTTTTTTTTTTTTTTAGCTATCATTTTCCTTGTGTCCATGGTATTTTCCAGATTAAACTGAGTGATTCCCGCCAGGGCCCGCAGGGAGTCATCGCTTGGGAGATGAAGTGGCTGATGTTTCTGCTTCCTCACTCAGCCTTTTTAGGGAACCACAGTGAGAGAGCAGATTTATTGTGTCTTGAAACAGCTCAGTTTTTATGAGTGACCTCACAAGATTCTCTTCCAAAAGGCTTTGATTTAGGGGAGGTTTGGGTTTGCTCTGGAATGTTATTTTCCACCTGGA